GATAACATGTGAATATATTATTACCAAATGGAACATTGAATTTGACTACAAGAGCTTTAGCAAACAGCTATTTGGCCAAAAAAAAAACCATTGGAGCTAAGAGGGTAGAGTTTGAGTCTTATGATCTTGAAAGCCAAAAAGGTAGAAGTTTACAACCTTTGAGGCTTCTACGAGCGAGTAACGTGTCCTTGATGTAGCGATCAATCCTGGAGAAGATGGTCTCCGCCGGCAGTGAGATGTCATTATGCAATTTTCTTAGCTTTACTTTTTTCCAAGAGGAAACTTCACTTTATGGGACCATTCGTATGGAAACTAATAATCTTTGTGGGGTTTAGTAAGTTGGTGAAGGTCTAAACCGTGAGGTTTGTTTCGCCTTAAAAAACAAAAACAAAAAACGTGAGGTTTCGTAAGTAGGTGGTATATATTATTAATTGATTTCGGTTTAGTAATTCGGACGTATATATTATTTGATTTGGTTTGGTTAAGGAGGAGAAAGACAAATCTCTCTCTATATATTAAGGACATGTGATGTTTATTCAACATTCTATAGTAACATACAAACTAATAATGGACGATATCATTATTGGTGCGGTGGCTCTCGTGGCGGTTCTACTCTTCTTCCTTTACCAAAAACCCAAAACCAAACGGTACAAGCTTCCGCCGGGTCCACCGAGGCTTCCCGTGATCGGAAACCTCCACCAGCTTCAAACAACTAACCCACAACGTTTCTTCTATGGATGGGCCAAAAAATACGGACCAATCTTTTCATACGAGATAGGTTGCAAAACAATGGTTGTGATATCTTCGGCTGAGTTAGCCAAAGAGCTTCTCAAGACGCAAGATGTTAACTTTGCGGACCGGCCTCAGCACCGTGGTCACGAGTTCATGTCCAACGGCCGGAGTGACATGGCATTGAACCACTACACACCGTTTTACCGGGAGGTAAGGAAGATGGGTATGAACCATTTGTTCTCACCCACGCGTGTGGCAACCTTTAAGCACGTGCGAGAGGAGGAGGCGAAGAGGATGATGGACAAGATCAACAAGGCCGCGGAGAAATCCGAACCGGTCGATATAAGCGAGCTTATGTTGACATTCACCAACTCGGTTGTGTGTAGACAAGCGTTTGGGAAGAAGTACAATGAAGACGGGAAAGAGATGAAGAGGTTCATAGAGATTCTTTATGGATCTCAGAGCGTTTTGGGGAAGCTTTTTTTCTCTGATTTCTTCCCTTTTACTGGATACGTTCTAGATGATTTGACAAAACTCACGGCTTATATGAAGGAGTGTTATGTAAAGCAAGAGACTTATGTGGAAGAGATTATCGATGAGACGCTTGATCCTAATAGGGTCAAGCCAGAAACCGAGAGCATGGTCGACCTCTTGATGCAGATCTACAAAGATCAACCCTTTTCCTTCGAGTTCACTATAAACAATGTCAAAGGCGTGATCATGGTATGTAATCATTTGTTTTGAATAGTTACTTGCTTTATAAGTAATCGTTTGCTTGTTTTACAAGATTCGTTTGTTTTTATGTTTCTAAAGGATATAGTGGTGGCGGGAACGGACACGGCGGCTGCCGCGGTTGTCTGGGGAATGACTTATCTAATGAAGTATCCTCAAGTGATGAAGAAAGCTCAAGCAGAACTGAGAGAGTATATGGCACAGAGAGGGTCAACGTTCGCTACTGAGGACGACGTCAAGAACCTTCCTTATTTCAGAGCCTTGGTTAAAGAAACCCTAAGGATCGAACCGGTGATTCCTCTCCTTATCCCTCGTGCTTGCATTCAAGACACCAAGGTCGCCGGTTACGACATCCCTGCCGGGACCACGGTCAACGTTAACGCGTGGGCCGTGTCACGTGACGAGAAGTACTGGGGACCGAACCCTGACGAGTTCAGGCCCGAGAGGTTTTTTGAGAAGGACGTTGACTTCAAAGGCACAGACTACGAGTTTATACCGTTCGGATCGGGCCGGAGAATGTGCCCGGGTATGCGTCTTGGCGCAGCGATGCTCGAGGTTCCATACGCGAACCTTCTCCTCAACTATAACTTCAAACTTCCTAATGGGATGAAACCAGAAGATATCAACATGGATGTCATGACTGGTCTCGCTATGCACAAGTCAGAGCATCTCAAGCTTGTCCCTGAGAAAGTGAGAAAGTAACAGTTTCTACTAGTCAAATAAAATTATAACTTTGGTTATACTAAAAAAAAAAAAAAATTTTGGTTATATAATGTATGTTCCTTGAGGGTACTCTGCTTTAAAAGAATTTTACTTTTAAATTGATGAATAGTATCATTGTACAATCTCATCTCGCAAACAAATGAAACTGATTTGGATTTTAAAATGTAACGTTGACCTCGTTTCGCTGGTTGGGCATGAGGATCAGTAACCGGAGAAGACCTTCTTGACATAGTTTGACAGGGTTCCTATGCTGTGTAAGTATTGCGTTACTGTTGCCTAACAAAACATGAGCAATTATGTAACTTTCTCCTTTCTCATTTGCAAATTGCCATTCCCTCACTGTCAAATTGAAATAGTCTTTCCGTGTAGACACCGTTGCTTTCACCTCTACGTACTCTTTCTTGCCACCTCGGTTCTCGATCATTAGGTCATAAGGTAACCCGGTTTCGCTCTGTTCATTAACCCATCTAACCAGAGCCTCCTTGCCGTATTTTGCAAGAAAGTATCTGTAAGCAATTTCTTCACCTTTTCTACCCGTCTGTTGCGCCTGTGCAGCCCAAGGCGTGCCGGTATGAAGCTGATCTCTTTCGCTGAAGTCAGTTGAGACGGCGTTGTTCCATTCATGAAGAAGATTTGGATTGAGGTTAAAAGAAGCCTTATTCCCGGAGGTTGAGCCACTCTTCATATGCATAGAATGCAACGGGTTTGGCATACTAGCTTGTGAACTTGTCCCTGCACAATTATCATATCTAGCAACCAAGTTTGTATCGGTGAGCTCAATTGGTACTTGTTCCTCAAGAGCCTCTGTTACATCCTCTTCGCTGCTACTAACCTGACCTCTGGTCAGCTTTTGTTTAGCATCATCGTGGGCCTCGCTAGAACCATGTCCTGTTTTGGAACTTGACGGTAACCAGCTCAAGCTTATTCCAGCTTTCTTTTTCGCTTTCAGAGCAGATTTTAAGGACCAGATATTTTCATCGTCGGGGATCTTCTGAATTTTTTGACTGTTAAGAATGAATGATTCCATTTGCTCCTCGCTCAACCCAGATTCTGCCATTGTTTTTATCAAGTGAAGGAAATTTGCCAAATGCAGATTAGGAGCTCCGTTGAAAAACAAACAAGACAGTTCCATGAACAAAGAATGGGAATCCAGATGTGGTGTTGTGTACAGAGCTTTATCCTGAAGACAACAAGATCAAACATATAATATATCAGTAAAGGGGAACACAATAAATTCTTCATCATGAATATAGCAGTTTGCATCGGATTAGCCTAACATATTGAAGTTGCTAGAAATAATAAAACTTCAATGACGAAGCACACGCTCATTTTTCCAGATTGGGAATATAAAATTGAGATATTACACCACCATTGCCCAGTCAAGAGGTTATGACAGAAGCAAAGACCTTCTTGCATATAAAGAGAGGTGAGTTTCAAATAGCCTCAAAGCCGATGTCAAAGCTCCTATAATGCCAAAATATATTGGATAAACTATTGCAAGAAACATAAACGGAAGAAGACATACCTGCAAAAGAGAGCTGCATTTGAACTCTTTTTTAGAGCTAATTTCATATTGCGGTATGACATTCCTATAGCATAACTTCTCAACAACAAAGACTTGTAGACGCTTGACTTGACTATAGACAGTCTTTTTTGTTTGGTTATACTTATCATGATGTAGAGTGAAGATATATCGCTGAGCATAAGGCAGAGACCAGTTCACAAGTGAAACTGTTATGCTATTATCTTGCAGACCTTCATATTTCGCTTCACGCTTTACCACCTGGAAAAACACGTTAACACCAGAGTCAATTGGGGTGAGGCTAGTGTTACATAATGGAAAAGGAGACACACTGGTAAACATTAAAGCTACAAGATGATGGTTCTCGCATATGGTTTTGGAGTAAATATATAAACACAATTCAAGAAATGCTTATTCTAACGGTTCGGATCAAATCAAATGTCCCTAAGAAGCGTTTACATGTATAACTAGGCTCTTACATATTCAATATATCTTGGTTTCAAGGAGAAGATTAGTTATACCTCAGAAATACTTGGAATGCCTAACCTGTGCATCAGCACAGACACTTTTGTTTGAAGCACTTCTTGCTCTTCGTCAGCATTTTCCCCAAAGTAAATAAACTGAATATTCTCCTTCTTTTTAAATCTCTTCTTCAACTTCTCATCATCACACCAGCAGACAAGACCGTACGAGGAGTGTAGGGAAACCCACTTATCATTTTCAGTAGGAAGCACAGTGTACTCGAGTTCTGAAAGTCTCTCTTTTAAACGAACAACATCTTCAGAAGATTTGCCAGATTTCAAGTCATCACTCCACTTCAGGAAAATTGTGAAGACCTAAACATGAACTCAACACTTAGGCAAAGAAGAAAATAAATAAAAGATAATCAGGACGAGACTGATTAAGTTAACTAAATAACTTACAGCCTTGGCAGCACATAAGGGTGACACATAATGTGCGAACTGCCCTAGAATTTTAAGGTACTCTTGAAAAGAAGGTGCCTCAGGTACTCCACAACCATTCACAAAAAAGTCATGGAGACCTGGATAGATATTGCACAATGTTTTCCTATGCAATGACTCCACAACACTGCTGATCTGCGAACTGATGTCTTTTATCTCATCTAAAACGCCAGCAGAATCATTCCAGTAAACATCATCAAGTGGCAAGAAGATTCCAGATATCGTATCATTCAGCCTACTTCCAATTTTGTGTGGGACAAATACAGAAGGGAGAGCATGGAGCTTTTCAGTAATTTTCTGCTTTGAATCAGCCATTTCATTCCACAGAAATTTGTAAAATTTGGTAATCTGAGAGATGCTGCAACATTAAAGACAAAGTTGTACACTGTTAGAAAATGCATCAGCAAAGAATTGACAGTCTCGCATCATCATTAAGGGTTTTTGGAGTTAGTAATTGCAACAAGGGCGTGGACAACAAACATTTGACTAGAAGACGGTTCTCGCAATAATATAGAGGAAAAAACAGCTCATTTCAAAATAAATTATATGGACAATTTATTTGAAGTCCATGGTCTATGTTCCTACTTACACATCAAAAACATTAAAAAAACTGTGGAACTCTATTACCATGTCATCAGACCTAATATTTTAGTGCTAAATAAGAATCAATTCACCAGCATAATATCATATACATCAGCAGTAAATCATCTAATGCACGATGGTGAACAGTGGTTTAAGAAATCCTTACTTGTAATAATATGAAAAGAAAATATGTTAAAAATGAAACCAGACTTAGTAAGAAGCTCAAGGAATGTAATTAAAATCAGAAAATTTAATCTAGAAGAAATAAAAGGCGGTGCTTTGTACCTTGATTTGAAAGAGTCTCCACAGTTTACCCAAGCTTCTAGGATTTCCAGAGCATCATCGAGGCAAACTTTGGTCTTAAAACCGATATCATTAAGTAACTTGACACTTGTAACCTGTTCCACACAGAGAGGACGGAAAAAAAAAATGGTTATACATATAGGTGAAAGAATCCTCCGCTAAGTAAGACACTGTAGGAGGTCCATAAGATATAAAAACAATACCCTGTCCCACAATGAACCTACACCTCTAATAAAACGTCAAGACCTTCCATGTATGATTAAAAGTCCATTGGAAAAGACTCAAAAGCCAATTTATTCACTGCTTGTTTTAAAACTAATAGTTGTGGAATGGCAGAATCAAGCACATTATAAAATTAGTAAGACAAAACCAAACTAACCTTCGGAACTGCATACGGAGCATTTGTCCCAAGTATTGATTGCACATCATCACAATCATGATAGAGGTCTTTCGCAAGATGCAATCTGTTGTCCATGCTTGAAACTATCCATTCAGTATCACAAATTACCCTCATAAATGAAGATCCTGATGATCTGATGACACCATTCATACCCGAATTATAGTTAACAGTTGCTTTTTCATTATAGCAATCATCCCACAGTATATCAAGGACTTCCAAAAGATACTTGCAACCTTTTCGGCCATTACTTTTGTGCAAGGTAGACAAGAGATCAACTAGTTCGGGGGATTCCCAGTCTCTAACAGTTAATTCAGGAGATAACAAGTTGGAATTATACTTTTCACAACGTGAAGCAGAACAGAATTCTGCAATACTCTTTTCAACTTGAACCACTTGAACAAAATCAGCTATTCCAATCTCTTGAAAAAAATTCCGCCACTCCTTCAATCCGCATGCATAATATTTTGATGCTGGATGTGTCAAGTAGGTACCATCAACCACATGCCACAATAAATCCAAGTTTTTGGTAAGCTTCTTCAAATTAACCTGGTTTCCAAATTCTTCACCGAAATGAATCGAAGCCTCAGCTAGCTGTTTCAACCCAAAATTTGATAATATCACAGCTTTGCTTCTCAACTCAGAAATAATGTACTTCCTCTCGTTGAGACAAACATGGCAGCCAGATCGTAGATGTGTCATCACAAAGCATAAATAATCTATCATCAAACCCTCCGGCGCACTTCTACTCCCCGCCTCAAAGGCTGGTAATATATGCACTTTGATGATTTCATGTGCTGACAGCTTTTGAACGCCAATTGCACAAAGCATGTTTACGAGGTCATCCGCGGTGGATTTTTCATCAACAGAAGATGCCAAAAGAAGGGAAGGATCAATGGTTCGGAGATTTCCATATAATGTTGGAAATGCTTCAAATACATCACCCAGATCAAACCCACTGGTGTCATGGTGCAACCATACTGCACCTTCATCTAAAGAGGTGAACTTACCATTTGACAGTGGAATAAATGGGACCTTGTGAAGCCCGTCTATAAGATTTTTCTCTATACCAAGCTCTACATTACCATGCCCAGAAGAACGGAATAGAAAGTAAAGTTCAGTAAGAATAGAAGATAACCAGGCAAAGCCCATCGATTGCAGACAATCTTTCTTGTGGCTCAATGAAGAAAGAATCTGCACCAAAGTTTTAGGTCCATAGTCTTCAATTCCCAGTGCCCTTGACAGGGAATCTGACAAAACTATATTTTTGTCCAGAAAACCCAGAGCAAGATGCTCCTGAAGCAATCCATCCTTAAGAAGAACCCTTATCTTTTCATTCCAGTTTCTTAAAACCTTGCAAGGAGGAACCCATTCTTCACTGTCTCCCTCAAGCAGAAAGCAATTCGTTGTTCTCAATCTAGATATAATAGAACGAGGAAGAGAAGAGAAGAATCCATGCACTTCACCAATGAGAGGTACAAGTTGCATGTATGAAGACACAGCTTTACCGAGATTCTGGGTGAAAGAAGGAAGACTGCAGAAAGACCTTAGAGCACCCACAAACAAACCTGGAAACTCTGACAACAACCACTGGTTCCAAGGACTATCCTCATCAACATCCTCCCTTGAGGATGTAAGAATGAAATCCCCTTGTATAATAAATTTCAAACCATAAGTTCTTAAAGGAAGAAAAGCAAAAACGGGTTCTTGAATCATACATGATCTGTAAGTTCCATCTTCCAGCATATCAAGGGTGAATCCTATGGAAATCTCAGTTGACTCAACGCCATCACGAAGATTGGCAGCCTTCAAGTTTTCTGACGACACGAACCATGTCATGCTATTTTCCCCACATGAAACCTTTACAATATTCTTACTCACAACCTCTTTCCTCATGACCAAGAGAGAATTGTCAAGCATGTTTCTGTATACTATGCACTGGAGGCGATGTAGGAAGAGTAATAACGAAGGATGAAGGTCTGAAAACATAGGTTCAATGTGATCCATTGTTGTTCTTTCGGAATCAATGGCTCTGAAAGGAAGTGAAATGCATGTGTTCCATCCTGCATCCTTCAGTTGTATAGCACGGCCAGATAACATGCTGCTAAGCGATTCAATATCATGAGGAGGCACAACAGTCGGTAAAATATATCCAATCTGACCCTCACTTATATCAAACTTGAAATGGAAACCATTTGAGTGGATCTCAGGAGCATCAGAAACCTGTAAAGTGAACCCAAGCAAAAGTGTTAGAAGGGATCACTTGAGGTTAAAGGTCATATACATCTTTCAAGCAGACATGTTTTGAACCATGTTTCAGAATAGATATTCCCATGGCCATTTATCCTAAATTCATTTAAGCTTGGGTATAAGAGTCACATAAACAACAAAATCATACTCTGTAAGATGAATTCTCATTGTACATACCCGAAACACTGACTTGAAGCCAATTCCTTTCTTCCCTATGTATCCACCAGATCCTTTCTTTGTTGATCGGCCAACATCACACAGGGCCCGAATGTTCTCAGGCATAAAGCCACACTCGTTGTTCAAAACAACAATCCCAGTCTTCTGAAGAATGAATGTGAGTGTGGGTTCCACATGTTCAGGGTACTTGTTGTCATCAGCATTTTGAACCTGAAGGAACAATAGCAATGGAGTAAGAGGTTGACCAATGGAAGCGAACCCGATTAACATGCTTGTAAGAAGATTAGGAACAAAAAAAGAAAGAAGGCAAGAATGCTCACGAGTTCAAGAATAAAGTGTGAATCTTGAGAATACAATTCCTGAGACAAACACTGAAGTGCTCTTCCTAACCGAGCATGTTGTTTCTGTAGCATACTCGTCTCAGCACCAGAAGAACTTGAATCCAGCCCAAACTCATCCAGTCTGATTGAATCAATAACAGAGGCTGGATTGTCATGAACCTCAGCTGGAGTCTGGGTGAAAGCCTCCCCGACAGAATCAGATAAATCCCCAGGACCACCAAAAGTGTGATAAGATTCATGAGGTTCTTTATTATATTCACCCGACTTCTCGGACACGATCATGCATCCTTGTTCTGCATGAAGGTCCTCCAATTCTTTTTGCACAAAAGCTGTGCCAGAATCTATGTTGGATGAAGCATTTTCCACTATTGCAGAGTTTGGCGAAAATGAAGAGCAAAACTTCTGGTAATCATTAATCCATTCAACAATGCCTAGCAGCAATCCAACATCATGCAGCATGATGCGTTGCTCTGTGTGCTCGCATGCAGACAAAACTCTTGAAGGAGCATCTTTAACAACAGAACGAAGTCCGGATAGCAAGATATCAACAGCTAAACTGTGAAACTCCCCAGGTAGATAGCCCAGACAATCAAGAAAAAACTTTGAGGCAGCACAGTCACTTTTATCCACTTTTGTTTTCTGTTCTACTATCATTTTTTGGACAAGAGAATTCCTATCTTTTAGCTCCGTCTCCTCGGAATGGTTATTTAAAAAAACTTCAAATGCACGCCTTGCATAGCATTTTAGAAGGGAAAATGGCAGATGTGTTCGTCCATGCAATGATATCAACGACAATAACTGTGCAGCAGTACGGTAAGCAGATCCTTGAAGAGCAGCCTCTAAGAATGAATCAGCTGTTGCAGAAGGATCCGTCCGGATAATCTTACCATCCTTTGTCACTAGACACAACAGATCTTTTGAATTAATCTCACTCAGACACCCCATAAGAGGACCAAAGTATGGAGCAAACTTAAGATCCCAGTGACACCATGAGTTCAAGTCTGACAACAACGGCACCCTAAGCAAAGCATCTAAAACCTCTTTGGACGAAACAGCACTAAGAGGCCTGCTTCTTGATTCAGTATCATTTCCCAGAGGCAGGGATTCTTCTAAATGCTTACTGGTTAAAGAGTTTTCAGCTCCCAACAATGTTGCAGAAAAGAGGACACACTTAGAACCAGATTTCTTCATGTTGCTACCAATGATTTCAGTTAAGTTTTCCTCTGAATCTTTTCCTACAACCTTGAAATTGATTGATGGAAATTGTTCTGCAAGCAGTCGAGCTACCATCTGTCTAGATAATACATTACCACCTGAAAATTCACGAGCTTGTGATAGCAATAGGGTCAACAGGTTCTCATTCACGTGGACCTCCAGAGGAAACTCTTCCCGTGATTCTCTACCTAGAAACCTTTGAAGTTGTGTTGGTAGCAGCAACATATGTTTCTCCAAGAAAGTGAAAAACCCACCCCAACCAAGAGACTCGAAATCCTGTACTTGAAATTGCTCTGCCAATAAACCCTCGCAAGTCTGTAGCTTCCTAAAGATACTAATGTACTTCTCTCCAGAAAGATCATGCTCAAAATACAAGGAAAGTCTTCTGATAATTTCTTCAACATTACCTAATAGTTAAAATTGATCAGATTGCAAAATGCAAGAGAAATGACAACCACCAAAAGACTTCCACCAAAGCTTGTTAGATAATGCAATCAAAGAAAACAGTTCCCGTTCAATTATAATTTCTTTCGATCGTATGTTGACTTGGATAAATAAAGTACTTATCATGATGCTACAGGGGAACTCGACCTTACAGTTTGAATTAAGATTTAAGAACCACAATAAACCGAAAGTCGACATGCAGAGAGCAGAAATGAAGATAGAGAACAGAAATATACTCACTGTGTTTTGGAGGCACAACATGTTGCGTTTTGTTTAACTCACTGTTTTCACTCGGCTCAACATCATCTACTTGATTTTCTGAGCCTGGATTGGTCGCATCACCTTGGCTCGTCATTTGCAGATTATCATATATACTATCCCACATTCCACGTCTCATTGAGGTTACCTGCAAATGCAGCGCAAGGAAAAAATGAAGCAATAATAAGAGACAATGGGTATATTAGAAGTCACACAAATGGTCTTTTTAATTTAACAGAGAAAGATCAAAGTCGATCAATATAAAACATTTGCACTCTTGTGCTAAACAAGATGTGACACATTTCCATTTTCTAAAATACTTTCCTACATTGAAAGATTCATCATATTTCTTTATTCTCATGGAACAATACAAATTAAAAAAAAAATGAGTAGTTAAAAACAAAACAAAAATCCACAGAATAAACTCCTGAAGAAAAGGGGTTAAACTAAAGTTACTATTCAAGCACCGTCGACATCTGTAACTTTTTACTTCAGCAAAAGGAAATGAAATAACAAAAATAAGAAAAAACGAGACAATATTCCCTAAAACAGATTTCCCACTGCACCTAGAAGATTTGTGCAGCCTTGCAGTTTTACTTTCTTCTGATGATTTACAGGAGGAAAAATATGATTGCCAGGAATAAGGAGAGACACAAGAAAGACAATGCAGACACTTTGGAAAACTGAACAAGATGCTTTATGCAAAAGACATGGAACCAGGTCGAAAACAAAATTGAGATGCCACAAAAGACATGCAATAGCTTTTTGCAAAAAAGATGTAGCCAGGGAATTTTCAAAATAGCAACCAGGTTTCAGTTTCGGACATTCCCCTACAAATATTTCAAAGGACAGAATCTGCAACCTGAGATATTGGAAGGTTTCCATTAATTAATCTAAGTAGTGAGACGAAGTGGGGACTGGAGGTGACAAAGAGCACGAGTTTTGAATGGTCCACAGAGTAGTATTTTTATCCTTTTCTAGCCTGCCTCAGTGACATTTTGATGTGCACATTCAGAATCAAAGAGCAAAGCTGAACAAGGAAAGTATCTACATTTACTGAACTCAACTCCAAGACTTTGCAACTGGGTGCTAAGTCTCAGTAAGAGAGCAGGGAGGCTTGAAC